GCCTTTGTTGGCAGGTGGGCGCTGGCCGCCCCGGGCTTCTGCTTGGCTTCAGCCTTGCTTTGCTTCGCTTCCATTTGCTTTGCTCGCTGCGTTCGTTCGTTCGTTCGTTCTATTGTGAGGCGTTTTCCTTGTTCCTCATGTTCAGAGGTGCCGCCGGACGGGAAAGACTTGGAGGCTCGGCCGTTACAATATTTCTTTCAATGTTCTACTGCTGCACACAGCGTGTGCCTAAAACTATCGTTACTGCTTATTTCACTACGTGCTATCTCAATGTTCTAGTAAATGACAATTGTCTTTCACTTGTCAAGTGTCTAAGTTTGATGGAAGAAATTTCAGTCTTGATTTCAAGAGTACATGTTTGCATACAATTTTTTTTTTTAATTAAGTTTTTTTCCCATTTCAGTGCGCACATTAAGGTTTCATACTACTATAAAAATATTTATTTCTCCTTGATCGCCATTGTTGCATTTAAAGGTTTCTGAAGGTACTGGACACAAATACAGCGATACAATAATACATGCACATTACACTTATGCATACATTTTTTTTATTAGCGAAATTACAATTCATTCTAAAAAATGCAAGGTGATGTCTTATTTTTGATTAACTTACACACTATTGGAAGCTTTTAGACTTCTGTGACCTATGTAGCTGTATGTATGTATATATATATATATATATATATATATATATATATATATATATATATATATATATCCATTATCGTGAAAGGAAGAAATATTTCGTTGCATGTAGAATATACGACTAATATAACAAATTTGATGAATTGCTCATCATCGTAAAGTCTCTGCTGCAGTATTAAAGTGTATTATTAATTCCAAATTGAGAAAAGAAAGAACCAAATCGAATTGGAGTGATGAAAACGGGCAAGTGAATCCTCGTAAGGCAACGTGAAAGGCACGAGATAGGATAGAAAGCTAGGAGGGCACACAAGATACCCTCCCGCCGTCACTCGTCATAGACCACACAGTCATTTAACTTTCTACCGAAATCCGCGAATTTCGCCCTTGCACGTGCTGATCTTGGTGTAGTATTAATGTTTCTAAGAGGTGCATTCTAGGTCGATTCTACCGGTATTTCTCCTGGCGCTTCCTTGCGACCAAAACAACCGCTCTTCTTTGTCATCGTGCTTCCAAGAAGGCGCTTGAAACGCCATCTGCCGTGACGATTGCAGAGAGAGGGTCAGGGGTTGAAACCGAAGGGCGGAGCCGAGAAGAAGAGGCACTCTTGAGCGATGTAGACTTTACTCGAAGCTTAATTTTTCGCAGACACAAATAAGATACTAATTGCCGTAGGCTTGTTAAACCCCGAGACAAGTTCGCTAACAATCACCGGTGTGAATTAGTGGCGCAAAGGGTGTTGAAATGTTCCCTGGAAAAGTTGTTTTCTGAAACCTTGTGATTCGCATGAACACGATCACCTTCGCTGAGAGACACTTCTGAGCTTTCTAAAATATCCCAATTCTCTTTGCTAGGATTAATATATGTAAAATATATATCTACATGTTTCTAACTAATCTGATACTCAGTTAATAGTGGTGATGCAGAAACATTTTACAATATTTCCCTCGATTATCTAGGAAATATAACAGAATAATCACATAATAAGTACTGTTAACTGGCTTACTGATTGTTAGTTAATTCTAAGGAATTGACATTTGGCTACGCTAGACAATGAAAAGCTTTGTAACTCATCTGTGTTAATCTATGTAGATACAGGTTTCATTAATTAATGTGTTTATTATCTTTTGTTAAAATTGAGATCAGAATAACTATTATTATATTATTAATTATTATTATTATTATTATGATTACTATTATTATTTCCTCACATCACGACTTAAGATGTTATGGTCTCGGAATATTTAAAATACTACTCCATGTTTGCAAACCAGCTACCTATTATTGTTGTTAATTTTATTATATTATTATTATTATTATTGATTATTATTATTATTATTTATAAATAGATTAAAAAGAAAAGATACATGATTTCATACAAAAGAAATTAGACCATCACTGTGATGAGAAGAGCGGTACCCCTGGCGGAGGCGAAGACAGTGCGTAGCGTTCGGACAGTTGGGGGTGCGGGCGGGGCGGGCTTGCCTTCCACGGAGCTTCAACCGCCACCTTCCGGCGACGCGCGTGCCTGCGCGCAAATCGCACGGCGCGGCGACTTCTGGGAACGGCGGTGAGGGCAGCCGCCGAAAATAGACGACGGATTTGAAATATTGTTCCCTCGGCACTTTGAAAAGCGCCCACAACGAGGACTCCAGCTGAGAACGCCGCCCGCAGGAAACTGCTCCGCCAACTTTTCTGGAAGAAACTGACTGCTTTCTTTTCTTTTTGCCGTGTTTCAGAGAAGAAAACTGTTGACGCACGCCTAAGAATTCTCTCCGTGTAAACGTTTGAAATACAAAATTTGATTTTCCCCTCCCCAAAAAATTATTATAAATTGTATTGTGTGAAGGCAGTTAATAGTATGTGCTTCCAGTGTAACATCGACTTTACATTTACATTTAACTTTATGTTTAAGGCTTGATGAAAAGACTTAATTTGTGATCTGTTAACTTCAGTTTGTAATAAATATTTCCCCCTTTTCCCCCTCATTTGTTAATTTTATTGGTTGTTCTTCTTTCGTAGAAAAGTGCTCGTATCATTAAAGTGTTTTAGTGTTAAAAGTAGTAGGTTGTTATATGTTGGCTGAGGATTTGTATTTTGTGTGTGTGCTCGATTTACATTATCATTGCAATAATATATACATATTACACTGTATTAATTACTCTTGGATAATTCTCAATAAGCAAGACTTCAGTCTTGTTGAATCGTGTCGCTCCAGTGTTTTGTTTACTTTGCAGTATCCATTTATTTCATATGGATATGACTTCTTTGCGGTACGCGTACGGCAAATTCTGTTGGTACTCTAAAGTACTGCGTAGTAACACTTTCCATACAATAACCAGTTTAAGCACTAGATTCCAAATAAGCGCTAGATTGCATGCATGAGTGCTGAAAAAGGTTTTGTGTATGTTATGTGGTTTAACTGAGCGTTTATTCACTCAGGAAAATTAATGTGCCTCGAGTTTTGCCCTCGGGACCTAACCCTTCTCCCTCGCAAATAAAGCTCTATAAACACCTTGTCATACATGTAACTATGATTTTCGAACAACTGTACATTTAATGCACGTATTTGTATTTCGCTTATTTCTTTTCTTGTGTGCGCTCGGCGCGCTATGATGTGCTTCGTGAACCAGCTAAGCGCAGCCTGTCTGGTCACGCCTCGAGCCCAACGCATTTAACGCCACATGCCGAAGTGCGCACTTTGCATGCGGACTCGACGTGTTAACTTACTATTCTCACTCCCATCTTCATTTCGCGAGGAAATTATCGTAATTACTCGTTGACGCCATCAACTATAAATGCGCCGCGTTGAAAACGACCTTGGAAACGGGGGTTGGTTTTCCAGGCGTTCGTCTCTTCTGGCATGGGTGGATTTCTGGGCATGGCTTTTTGGGGCTATGCAAATGTCATGTGACCTGATTGGTGCCTTAAACCTTACGCGTAATGGGTCGGTTCAACATGGACGGAAGGAGTGGACGGACATTTTTGAAAGTTGATTACATTGTTTCTCTCACTAGTGGGAGCGCTAGGTCGCTACGACGGGAGACGGGACTATTCCGCCGTTTGCAAAACGTCTGAAGGAAATATCTTTTGGGCATACTGGCGTGCCGTTCCGTCTATACCGATGTTGTCATCGGCTAGTCCGCGTAAGTGTTTAAAAGGAAAAAAATCTTACCGATCAAAAAAGTACAAGTCTCACAGTTATTAGTTAAGAATTCATCTTACTTTACGTTAGGCATGCCAAATTTAACTTCAGAATTAGATTAAATTAAACTTAGTTATTCCGACAAAGCCCCTCCGCCAACTGCTTAAGCCGCAAGGTAGCCGCTTAATGTATCCAAGCTATAGAAAAAATAAATTCCTGTCTCCACATGGACACTGTGGAGGTGACAAAAAGCTTTAATAGGATCGGACAGGACAACAGATAAGCTGTCCAAAGTGTACGTTTCGTCTCGTCCTAGTACGCGCAATCCACACAACACTACCGTCCGTCCCGTTTCGTCCGTCTCGCCCTGTCTATTCGTACCGTACCGACTGCGCGCTTAGCATACGAGGCAATTCTATCAACTATTACTGACACCGAAATTGAAGCGATATCATGTTGAAATACGGAAAGATAGTAGCTCGGTAGCAAGCGACATCTGCGAAACTGCTAATAAATGTTCGCAGACACAAAGTGTAAGATTCTTATCTAGAAGATTTATCTATTATTATTGTCAGTAGCCACTTATAGTTATGGTTGGTCTACAGTTGTAACGTTCTCTGCCAACGAAAGATTCCTAACGCTTAAAAACGCTCTCCAGCACAGTGCTTCGAACTCGCCTGAGAAGAATAGCTGTAAATGCACCACAAGGGAGCCTTTGTGGCTGTATGTGTGTTCTCCAATGAACAGCGCGCCGCGCCGCGCCTCGCCGGTCGGGACAACTAGGCGCCGCGGCGCCGGCTCAAGTACCCACTGGGCGCCCCCCCCCTCTTCCCGGCCCCACCGCTCCCCGGGCTCACGGGAAGGAGGTGGCTTGTGTATATGCAACGTACGGCCAAACAACGCCTGTAAATATATTTGTCATTGTGGATTCTTGACGAAACGAACTTCCTTTACATCACGACGTAATATTATTTACACAGAGTAAAAGAACAAACGGGAGGAGGAAGCGTCGAATTGTTGAATTTTTTAATATTGACGTACGCGAATCGTAACAAAAAAAGGAAATTAATTAAAATATAGTTTGTAGGAGGAAGCAGAAAAAAAATAGAAAAGATAGAGTTTATCTATCGACTCGGAAAGTGTAATAATAAAAGGAAAGCTGGAAGAAATAATAATAAAAAGGAAGAGTGCGGACGCATAAAAGAAAAAAGAAACTACATAAGAAAGAGCAGCGCGAAGAAAACTGGGAGCAGAGAAAAGGAATGTAAAAGAAGTTGAAGTAGACCCGCAGAAAGGTAAATAAAGGGATGTTTGGAAAGCAACAAAGTGGGGAGGTAGGTGGGCTGGCGAAGCGTAGGCCTCCGCTCCACTGAGCCGTGGCCAGAAGCAGCAGCAGCAGCCTCTGTTGAAAGAAGCGGCGCGGCGTCGCGAGCGATGGGCGGGGCAGGGCGCCGCGCGCCGCGGGGCTTTGTCGCCGGAATGCCGTCGGCGCGCGGGCGCGGGCGCCCATTGATGACGGGAGATCCGAAGGCGGCCGGCCGACCGGTCGACCGCGCGCGCGCGCCGCTTGCGGGCCCACGCGTCGCCCACGCCGCCTCCCTCCGCGCCGTTCCCCACAACATCTTTTTGCCGCAAAGTTCTAATAGAGACTCCTCGTGCCACCTGGAACTTCATGGCCTCGAACTTCACGTTACATAAAGCATATTATTTAGAAATTACGTTTAACCCAGATGACTTTTGCAATTGGTGTACCTATTCATTATCTTCAGTGTGGCTAGAGAAGTATTGCTTTCTCTTCATGAAGTGCATGAATGCCGATCATTCCGTTGGTCCATCAAGGATTTTATATTTTGAAAAAAAACCTATACCTCAGACGCCATTAATTTCTTTCGTAAATGATTGGGTCAAACATGATCTGTATCCGTAAACACTAGGGATCCTTATTACTATGTTAAATAAACTAAATATCTGTTTGTGCCACCTCGAACGTTAAAGCACTATCGATCTTTTGCTCATGCGCAGTTTCAAGTTTCGCACCATTTTGGTGCATATGCGCATGCACAGAAGAAGGTCATTCTGACGCTATGGCGTGCACAAACTCCCTAATGATGCAATATTGACAACATAACGTCGATGTTTCTAAACATCGGTGTTCCACATTGAAACATCGATGTTAATTATATAAAGTAGAGTCGCGATAATCTGAAGTAAATGGGGCTGAGGGTACCTCGGATTACAAAAAAACTTAGATTACACTGAAAAAAGAAAATACGTAACGGAATTTTCAAATACGATGCATAACGAATTCAAATTTAATGTGCAGATACTAAGATACATACATTAACGTACAATAAAGTGCCTATTGTAGTAACCCACAGCACAATGCTCGAAACTTGAACGCGAAACGGTCTCAACAATGTAGCAGTCAGACTGACACTGGCACCGACCGCCCCACATGTGATTTTAAGCGCAGTGTTGCGAACCTATCACGAGCCAGAGCTAGGTTGTCTCTCGTTTGCTTCTTTGGATGACTTGGTGCACATCAGGCTTTTTTTCCCATCTCGGTTTGGCAAGGCCCGGATTACCCCGACTCTACTGAATCGGCCCAAACCCATCGATGCTTTATAAATTTCGCGGACTAAACATTGTCATTCAAAAAACTTCGGCTGCAAAACATCTGTTAAAAAAACATCGGTGTTAAAAAACACCAAAACATCGATGTTAAAAAAATATCGACTTTAAAGCATCGATGTTCAAAAACATCAACTTTGAAACATCGATGTTCTAATACATTGGCCTCCAAACATCGATGTTAAATAAACATTGACATTAGTATTGAAAAAATATTGGCTTCAAAACACCGAAGTTCAAAAACATCAACTTTAAAACATCGATTTTCAAAAACATCAACGTTAAAACATCGATGTTCAAAAACATCAACTTTAAAACATCGATGTTCAAAAACATCAAGTTTCAAACATCGATGTTCAAAAACATTGGCTTTCAAACATCGATGTTCAAAAACATGGCTTTCAAACATCGATGTTCAAATACATCTGCTTCAAAACCTCGATATTCAAAAAAACATCGTCTTCTAAACATCGACTTCAAAACATGGATATTAAAAACTGTCGACTTCGAAACATTGATATTAAAAACTGTCGACTTCGAAACATTGATGTTCAAAAAACATCGGCTTCAAAACATCGATGTAAAAAAACGACTTCAAATCATCAATGTTTTTGTCGAAACATCGATGTCGCATCCGCGCCCAGTTGCTCTGGAGTGTCCGTCGCCGTTTCCACTGCCGGCCGGCGCGCCGCCCGCCTGCTCGGCCGGCCGGCCTTGGCCGACAGCT